ATTTTTAGTAGAGATGAGGTTTCACCATGTTGGCTAGGCTGGTCACGAAGTTGTGACCTCATCTACCTGCCTCAGCCTCCCAAAGTGTTGGGATTACAGGCATGAGCCACTGCACTGGCCTATAGAAGACTTATCTACATATATTTATACACATTTTTAGTAAAGTCATGCATCAAAGATTGTGGAGAGAGTCTAATATCTCACTACAGCATATTTAGTTGAGAAAATCAGGTTCAACTCTATATTATTTCACTATATGGTACCTTTTCAAGGAAAAAAAATCAGATGTAAGAATAAAGTCTGGTAAACTTCAACTAAGATGCAAAATTACAACCAAGTACTGAAGCAATAAATCTGAGCAATTATCAGGTTGTTTTACTGCATTTCTAATGAGTTCTTTGAAAAAAAAAGATCAATCAGTTATCACCATTATAGATGCTCTTCTATGTGTAAGGAGTGCTTAAGAGTTTAATTATAACATTTATTAAATAAGAATGAGAGGACATTTTAAAAGGAATTAAAGGAACATTAATTCCTTCATAAATGTATAGTGCTTAAGCTCTGCTTTAAAAGGTCTTTCCAAATGGGCACAGTGGCTCATGCCAGTATCCCAGCACTTTGGGAGGGCAACGTAGGTGGATTACAAGGTCAGGAGATCAAGACCATCCTGGCAAACATGGTGAAACCCTGTCTCTACTAAAAATACAAAAAATTAGCCGGGCATGGCGGTGCGTGCCTATAGTCCCAGCTACTCGGGAGGTTAAGGAAGGAGAATTGCTTGAACCTGGAAGGCAGAGGCTGCAGTGAGCTGAGATTGCACTCCTGTACTCCAGCCTGGGTGACAGAGTGAGACTCCGTCTCAAAACAAAGGTCTTTCTTCCATGTGCTCTTGGGTAACCACTTGGGGTCTGAATTAATAGTATAAGTATCAAAAAATGTTGCAATCACAATAGTAATTCAAGTCCCATGGAATCAGTGAGAAATGTAAATAAAGCGGAAATGGGTCATGATGTATTTTCACATGGGATGCATTTCACTGAGTGTGCAATGATCAACTGTACCAACTCTATTTGATCAGATTTTTTCTGAGATATGCAAATACAATTTCCATCAGTATACATTGATATATTACATGTTATGGTCCAAATTATTATTATTCGAGATAGGGTGTTGCTCTGTCACCCAGGCTTGAGTGTAGTGGCATGATTATGGCTCACTACAGCCTTGATCTCCTCGGCTCAAGCAATCCTCCCACCTCAGCTTCCCTAGTAGCTAGGACTACAGATATGTGCCATCATGCCTACCTAATGTTGTTATTTTTTGTAGAGACAGGGTCTCACTATGTTGTTCAGGCTGGTCTTGAACACATGGACTTAAGCAATCCTCCTGCCTTGGCCTCCCAAAATGCCAGGATTATAGGCATGAGCCACTGCACCTGACACAGATGTAGAAAATGTTAATACATCTGTGAAAGTACAATGAAAGCCACCAGGAGAAGATGACTTGCTACCAAAACAGCTTATTTACTTTTGGTGTGAAAATTCAAGACTGTTTTATTTATGTTGTTCTGGACTATCATGTTTTGGTCAAAATGTTGATTTTCTTCCCCCTTTAACAACAGTTAGACTTGAGGCAGTTTAGCAACATACTAACATATAATACATAGGTGTATGTATGTATTCTCTTCTAAGAATTCACATGAGAAATTCTGAAAACAGCTTTCATGGATTAAAAAAATGCTATTATAGTAATAATAAAACTTAGCAATATACATAAAGAATGCTACTACTGAACATATTATCTTATATTCATCTTCAGTGACTACAACTGCCATTTAGAATCTTTAGCCTAGCTACAGAGACTTATAAGCAGTTTGTTTTTAAACATGAATTCCAGAAATTTCTACAAGTTGTTACTTAAAATTTCCATTGGAAATTTGAGAGTAGATGTGAAGGTTTTCTGAATTATAGGATAATTATTTTTTTAAAAAAGACATATTCCCATGTATGCCTATAGTCATTGTTAGTGGGAACAGGCTAAAAGGCTGAACAGTGAGGTTACTTCTCCACAAATACATTTGTGTATTTCCTCCTTTCTCTTTATATGTGCATGTCTCTGGGTGTCTAAAATCTCTGTATTTTTCACTGTAAGGCTCTTTATCCAATGCTGGCCCTTATGCCTGCTTTTTCTTCCCCCAGTGACAAAATGCCTTCTCTTAAAAAGTAACTGTGGTAAGGGGGAGAAAGGGGTGGAAATACACAGAGTATAATTATACTTTGTAGAAGCCAATGGAGGTTTGGCATGATGAATATGTATTTTAATTTTATCCCTAACTTGTACAGTAGTATGTGCTGTAAAAGGTGACAAACAGACAAAGCTGGAGATAAAAAAGTCTATCAGTTGAGCCACAGATTTCCAGTGGGGGCAGAAATATGAAAAGCTAAAGGGGAATTTCTGAAAAAAGAGGAAATAGGAAAATAATACAGGGCAAAGACAGAAGTCTTAGAAGCTGATGATCAAAAGAATAGGGAGATTCAGCTAGTGAAGATACAGAATGTGCAAATACAGAATGAAAAGCATCTGCAAGGAAGGCCTAGAGCAGAAGTCAGAATTATGAGAAAACAAGATTTCAAAGGCAAAAACCACTTGTCTTGGTGTCTATAGTAACCAAAGATTTTTAAAGAAGCCAAAAGGGCCCTAACTGAGGAAGATTTTAGTTGTCCAGTTGACCAATGACTATAAGGAAGGTTAGATCTAGTTGTAGGGAATAGGGCATAATAAAAGAGAGGAGGGATGCAAGGTGAATGACAAAAGCAAATAATGTTTACTGCTACAACTTCCAGATTGATTGCCCAATATGAAACATGCAATATGCTACACTAAAATGTGTGCATTTTGTTTAATGAATTCAATTAAAGCACTATTTTCATGGGTCACTGAGTCTTGAAATAAAAGGTTCCCTACATCAGATCCAAAGTTAAAGAAGTTAAACTGCGTAAAAGGACTAGCAAACCTTTCAGTATTTTGTGGCACATGGATGCCTCTATTAAAATCAAACACTGGAGAGGTTTATTTTCGTATGGAATAATCATATTAAATTTTAATGGTAGACTTTATTATTTCATTTTCCATACGTTTTCAGTTCTTTGATATATATTTTAGATAAGATGTGGCAAAAATTTAATCTAAAAACAGGACTTAATGTGTCCTCAGTAAGCAGTGCTCATGATGATAATATCTTCAGTAAGCAAGATAATATCTTAGAAAGCAAGATTCTGAGATTACTGCTGAGCCTAGGCCTCTGACTTGTCAACCCCAAAAAGTTACTTCTCTCTTCAGTATAATGAATTGCAGAAGTACAGCAAGTTGTTTATAAGGATTTATTAGCAGGCATATGATATGGTGGGTAAGCAGAGATACTGATATTTTCTTTGCCAATGACCAAAATATTTACAAATTTCATAAAATGGAAAGAACTTTCTAAAAAATTAATAAGATCTGTTTTACAAATTACCAATTCAGCTGGAACACTGAATAGTAGAAATGACAAAAGATTTGTTCTTATGGTTAATAAAAAATTTATATTAGGGCATTCAAGTAAAGTTATTTTCTGTGTTCTGATTTAATGAATCATGTGAGTTGTAACTGGTTGGGTGACACAGATTCTGGCTCACTGAAGCCTACTCTAATGCTTCTCAGCACAGCCTTCCTTGGGACAGTAAAGCCAGAATAACATGTCAGGATGAAGTAATATCAAAGAAAGAGAAAGCAGAGCTGGAGAAGCTATGCGATTGATTCATAACACTTTTTGACTTGTGAGTGTCTGGTAAGTTTTCAATGTCATATGGGCTTCAATGACCTCTAACAGGCACCAAGCAGCAAGAGTAATGCAATAATGAATGATCCTCAAAAGAAGAATTTTATAATTCAAGCTGATAAACACTACACTTATTAAATTGTTTTAACCTTATTGATAAATAGACTTAGAAACCACTAATGGTTTCTTAAAAGCTGAATGAGTATTAAATGTTTTATGTATGGTTTCGTAGTAAGCATCTAGTTTAGTTCCTTTAAATCTGTCAGATTTTAAAAATATACATTAATTTGAAAATCTTTTTGATGCTAATAAGGTATATGTTGAAAAACAAAATAGTATTAGATTTGTAAAAATACAGATGTAAAATAAGGAAGCTCATTCAATGTTAATAAAATGGACTACTAAAAATGAAACTAAAAGACTATTCTGTATATACCCCAAATGGGGATGTTTGTCTCTTTCAAAGATAATAACAGGCTGGGTGTGGTGGCTCACGCCTATAATCTAAAAAGTAGAGGCAGGCGGATCTCTGAGTCCAGAAGTTCGAGACAAGCCTGGGCAATACAGCGAGTCACTGTCTCTATAAAAAAACACAAAAATTAGCCAGGCCTTGGGGGCAAGTGCCTGTAGTCCCAGCCACTTGAGAGGCTGAGATGGGAGAATAGCTTGAGCCTGGGATGCAGAAGTCGCAGTGAGCCAAGATCACGCCACTCCACTCCAGCATGGTCAACAGAGTGAGATCCTGCCTCAAAAAAAAAAAAAAAAAAGATGAAAACAAATAGTATTTGTAAAGAATAAGGTATTCAGAAAAAAAGATGGTAAAAAATATAAAGAGAATACTGCGAATATTCTTGCTGTCCTGATTTTGTAATAGTCAGGACAGGCTAAACATTCGCTATATTAAGACCATGTGTGTGTCCCCAAACCTAGTTCTTTCCCTAGGTTTGGGCTGGTGATAAAAAAGAGAGAGAGAGAGAGAGAGAGAGAGAGAGAGAGAGAGAGAAAGAAATTACCTATCACTTTATATAAAAATTGTTTTATTACATAGGAAAGGAAAATAAGGCACAAAATAGAGAAATGATGTTTTCCAAGGCAGTTTACAAAAATCAGTGGATCACTTTGTTTTTCCCTAATCAGTATTCTTCACATTCAGTATTTAGAGTTAAAATCTGAGAGTACTTACAATGACAGCAACACCATAGCAATTAAAGTCCATTCCGCAGGTTTGTGTATAATATTTCTGTTTGTTAACCTGAAATATAGATAAAATGTATCCAAGGAGTGTTACCTTTAAATAAATAAACGTTCTGTTTCTTTCTAGATAACATCAGATTTATAATAATGTACTAAAGAAGCACTATTTAAAAAAAAAATACTTGTTATATTTGATAGGAAAGGTCAATAGTATAATAATGTGGCTCAATAGTCACTATCTGATAATGGCCATCTCAAGAGCAAGTGTTCCAGCCCCACTTTTATATGATTTTGGTAATATTACTACTAGACAAGATGAGAATATCGGAACAACATGGGAAACTATATTGCTTAAAACACATACACCCCCAACACATATAATATTCTCTATGCTTTTCCCTAACCAAGCAATTTCTCTTCTCTTTTCTTTTCCTTTCATTTTTTTTCCTCCCTCTCGCTCTTTTTTTTTTTTTTTTTTAAAGAAACAGGGTCTTGCTATGTTGCCTGGGCTGGGATGCAGTGGCTCTTCACAGGCACAATCAGTGCACTGTAGCCTTGAACTCCTGGGCTCAAGAGATCCTCCTGACTCAGCCTCTTGAGTAGCTGGATTACAGATATGTACTGCTGCGTTTGGCTTAAGGTAAGCAATTTCTGATTTTAATTTTACTTCATCTTCTGTACCCTTCCATCTGGTGCTAGGTTGGTAGCAGGCAATTAAGGGATGCTGTAATCCGTAATTTACAGAAAATAGAGTCGGCTTAAGAATAGGTCTTTATTAGTGCCGGGCACGGTGGCTCATGCCTGTAATCCCAGCACTTTGGGAGGCTGAGGCGGGTGGATCACAAAGTCAAGAGATCGAGACCATCCTGGTCAACATGGTGAAACCCTGTCTCTACTAAAAATACAAAAAAAGTTAGCTGGGCATGGTGGTGCGTGCCTGTAGTCCCAGCTACTCGGGAGGCTGAGGCAGGAGAATTGCCCGAACCCAGGAGGCAGAGGTTGCCGTGAGCCGAGATGGCGCCATTGCACTCCAGCCTGGGTAACAAGAGTGAAACTCTGTCTCAAAAAAAAAAAAAAAAAGAATAGGTCTTTATTAAAGAAAAGTTTAAAAAAAAAATTTTATCACTTAGTCATAAATGGCAACAAAAAACTCTATAGTCATCTTGGTTTCTCAGAAAGCATTTAGAAAGATCACTAAATTTAAAAATGATGTAAATCAATAAGAAAATGTCAGCCAAATAAATAAATTGGGCAAAGGATATGAACAGGGAATTTATATGGGAGGAAATTTGAAATGGCCAATAAACATTTGAAAAGGAACTCATTCTCACTAATAATTTGAGAAATTAATATAAAGACAATAATTCACTCCATCCACTTGGAAAAATGAAAGACTGACAATACCAAAGGTTGGCGAGGACTGTTGATGTGAGCAATTGAATGACCATTTGGCAATATCTAAGAAAGTCGAAAATGCATATAAACAGCCTAGCTATTTATATGCTTCTAGATACAAAGCCTAAAAAATACTTTCACTTATACATAAATAAATGTGTATGAAGGTTGTTAATGCAACTCTGCTTGTAATAGAAAAAGAAACTGTGGCATATTTATAAAATATTAAATAGCTGTTCAAATGAATAAACTAGATGTACACATTTTGCTTATAATTTTGAATGAAAGCAAACATGGTATGACTTTTTTTTTTTTTTTTTAACAGAGTCTTGCTCTATCGCCCAGGCTGGAGTGCAGTGGCATACTCTTGGCTCACTGCAACCTCCACCTTCCAGGTTCAAGCAATTCTGCCTCAGCCTCCCTTGTAAACCCAAGTAGCTGCCACCATGCCTAATTTTTGTATTTTTGTAGAGGTGGGGTTTCACTATGTTGCCCACGTCAGTCTCTAATTCCTGGCCTTAAGTAATCCACCCTCCCAAAGTGCTGGGATTACAGGCATGAACCACCATGCCCAGTCGGTATGGCATTATTTATATAAATCAAGAACAACTAAATACTAAATATTGTTTATGGCAGTAAATGTATAAAAACAAAGACTAGAAGGATATACATCTACTTCATAGTACCAATGCTTCTGGGGAGGAACGGAAAATGGACTGGGAAAGGGAACAAAGGGGACTGACTTCACGCCCTCCTCCTTCTCCTTTGCATCAGCTATTCTGTCCATCTGAAACAATCTTCTGCCAGGTAAGTTTCCTTATGTCATCTTTGCAATAAGGCCTGTCTGGACAACAGTATTAAAAAGTACAACTTGCCCTCTACCTCCCAAACCCAATACTTGTGACCTCCTTATTCTGCTATATGTTTTTCTTTTTTTTTCATACCACTTATTGCCTTCTAAAATATAATTACTGTTTATTTTCTGTTTTCTCTTGACAGAGGCCAAGAGTCTTTGTGTACTTAACTATTTATTCCAAGTTTCCAGAACAAGTGGCTGGCAGTCAGTAGGCATTCAAATAATACTTTTTGAATAAATAAATCTATAATGTTTTATTTTATTTAAAAATATATATTGGAATCAAATTTTAGAAAATATTAAAGTCTATTAATTCTGAGTGAAGAATGAATATTGTTACATTAATCTGAATTTTTCCTATTCTCCAAAATTAAAAAAAGCCTAGATAATATAAAAATGAAGTACAGTGTATGATGGTTACAGTCTGAGAGACAGGGGTTTAATACCCAGATCTGTTCTCAGTAGTGTTTTATTTTAGACATGATGTTTGATGATTATGAAACTTAATTTTGTAAAATAAGTATAATAATATCACCTCATAAAGTTCTTGTGAGGATTAACTGCATAAAAGACAGCCATACTGCCAAATCCAACGGACATTTCCATTTCTCAACCCTCATCTTAATCTGTCCATCATTTGACAATCACTCCCTTCTCCAGGAAACATTTTCTTCACCTGGTTTTTACTTGCCTGGTTCCCTCATCTTACATGAGCACTCTCCTTAGACCTTTTAATATTAAGGCCTCTGGCCTTAGGTCTCTTCTCTCCTGTATAAACAAACACTCTTATCCAATCTTATGACTTTAAAATTAGGAACTATGACTGACAACTTCAAATTTATTACCTCTAGCCTAGACCTCCTCCTTGAATTCCAGATTTCTTTATCTACTGGTCCACTTGACACTTCTACTTGGATGTCTAACAGGCATCTCAAAATTTTGTAGAGGCAAAATTGGGCTTTTCATCTTTCCCCCAAAACTAGGCAGGACCTGTGGACATTCCCATCTCAGTAAATGGCTTACCTTATCCTTCTAGAATCCATTTGCTCAGGCCACAAATCTTGTGATTAAACTTGACTCTCTAACATCCTATGTCCAGCCAGTCACCAAATCTGATTCTACCTTTGAAATTGGATCTGATCACTTCTTATTACCTCCACTACTTTCTCTTCAGCCATACCATTTCTTACCTAGATTATGAAAATAGCCCTGGCAATTAATAGCTGTATTGGTCTCTCTGCCTCTGACCATCTGTTGTAATTATCAACTGGGCAGCCAAAATGATGCTGTTAAAAATGTGTGTTAGACCATGTCATTCCTCTGTTCAGAACCTACCAATTGCCCTCCATCTCACTCAGAGTAAAGGTCAATGAATGATCACAGATATAAGGCCCATACAGTCTGTACTATACCCAACCCCAATCCCATCCTTTTCTGACCACATCTGTCTCCACTTTTGCTTCTGCTCATTCATTTCTCTAGTCTCACCAGCAACCTAAACTTCTGTGAATATACCAGGCCTGCTCCTGCTTTAGAGTCTTTGCACCTGCTATTCCCTGTCTGCTATAGTTTCATGGACAGCAACACAGCTTGCTCCCTCACCTCCTTTTAGGTTTTTACACAAATGGTGTCTTCTCAATGAGGTCTTCCCTAACCAGCCTATTTAAAAGTGCAACTTTTTTCCTCCTTAGTACCATCCAATTTCCCTGCCTCTGGGGTGAGAAGAAGAAGAATGGACAGAGAAAAGGAGAAGGGCATATTTATGTATTCCCTCTATCAGAATGTAAGTTCCATGAGTGTAGGGATGTGTCTTGTTTTGTTCACTGATGTACCTCTAGCAAATAAAACAGTATCTAGCATATAGCCAAAGGAGCTAGCTCAAAGAAGGATAAGTATATAAAAATAAAGTGTCAAAAATATAGAATTCCCTTTTCTGGCCGGGCACAGTGGCTCACATGTGTAATCCTAGCACTTTGGGAGGTTGAGGTGGGCGGATCACAAGGTCAGGAGTTCAAGACCAGCTTGGTCAAAATGGTGAAATCCCGTCTTTACTAAAAATATAAAAAAATAGCTGGGTGTGGTAGCACATGCCTGTAATCCCAGCTACTCAGGAGCCTGAGGCAGGAGAATCGTTGGAACCCAGGAGATGGAGGTTGCAGTAAGGTGAGATCCCGCCACTGCACTCCTGCCTGGGTGACAGAGCAAGACTCCATCTCAAAAAAAAAGTATTTCCTTTTTATTACACTCAAATTTAGAGTTAAGACAGATTTAAGATTTCATAATTCACTTATATATTCACCAAAAATGTTATTTAGAGTGCCTGCTGTATTATCACTGTTCCAGGCACTGGAGAGAACACAAGTAAGGTTTTGCTTTCACTTCAAAGTACTTCTAGTAGCAGACTAGCAAAATTTTACCTGTTTTCATATTCTTCCTATTGCTGAGCCAAAATAATTTCCAGTACAGATGCTAGCTGAATATATTTACTATTGTTTGAGTGACAATTCAAAAGGGAAACAGTAATATTTGATAGAAAACATTTAAAAAGCAGAGATTTTTCAGACCAGTCATGGTGGCTCATGCCTGTAATCCCAGCACTTTGGGAGGTGGATCGCTTGAGCTCAGGAGTTCGAGACCAGCCTGGGCAACATGGTGAAACCTCATCTCTACAAAAAATACAAAAATTGGCTGGGCATGATGGTATGCACCTGTAGTCTCAGCTACTCAGGAAGCTAAGGTAGGAGGATTGCTTGAGCCTGGGAGGCAGAGGTTTCAGTGAGTTGAGATCACAACACTGCAGTCCAGCTTGGGTGACAGAGTAAGAGACTCTGTCTCAAAATAAACATAAATAAAAAGCAGATATTTTCAAAACGTAGTTTGAAATTCATATAGATTGAAATACCTTGATTCATCACTGATGAAATTTAAAATAGATTTTCCGTCAAAATATAATTTTAATTCAAATCTAATTTAGAAAAATATGTTGATTCAACAGTGAATCATTATCAAGCAGATTCTGATGGAACCTGCTTTACACTATGACAGGTAAACCAATGTAACATTCTAGATAGCAGATTTGTAATGCAATTCAGTGGAAAGGACAGCTCTATTCACTGGGGAAATTCTACAGAGAGCCAAAAAAAGCTGCTTTATGTTTAGGTCCCAAAATAGGCTCTCAACTCTGGCTACACATTGGAATCATCTAGGGGGTTTTTAGAAAATACTAATATCTGAGCCCAACCCTAGCCAAATGAAACTCAATCTCTAGGGTGGAGCCAGACATCTATAGTTGTTAAAATCTCCCCAGGTAATTCTGATGCACAACTGGCTTGAGAATCACTGTTCTACAAGTTCCTATTATTGACTGTCATTTCAGAGAGAAAGATATGGTAAAGTCAACTCTTTCCCACTATCAGTATTGACTGAAAAGATTTCTCAGCAGTAGTTACTGTCATCAATATGGCATTCTCCCAGAGGCTTCACCTGGCAGCCCTAGCCTACAAACGGTCACAGACCTGCCAACATTGTCCAGAATCTGGAATCTGAAGACTCCATCCAAATCAGCTATCTTATCAGAGACATTCTGTATTCTAAGCAACTGACATTTTTCTGAAGGACAGTGAAGCCAATTTAAGCAATTTTTGTCAAAGCTATAAACTTTGACTTACAGGTACTAAAGAATATAGATTTTCAAAAATAATCAACACCAAGGTTTTCGGAACAGAATTTTATAACACTGCCTACCAAAATAATGCATACTTTTTGGGCTTACTTTCCCAAAACTTTTTATTAAATTTCAAACATATAAAAGTAGAGAGAATATAAAATAAATTCCTATGTACATATCACAACTTTTACAATTACCAACTCCTGGTTAACCATGTTTCATCTATACAACCCCATATTCAACACCACTGCTAATCTAGATAATTTTGAAGCAAATCTCAGATGTCATATAATCAAGTCTTTAAATAATGCACAAAGTAACTGGAAGGAACTTAAAGTCACAACACAGGAATGACAGAAAAAAGTGATAATAGTTTATAAATATAAGAGGAAAAGGACATTTGAATTGTCTCCTTATATCTGCAGTGCTGGGATTACAGGCATGGGCCAATGTGCCTGGCTGTATTTTTCATTATTAATAATAATATTTTAAGAAACACGAATTAGTCACTACTTAACAATTCTTTTTTTTTTTTTTTTTGAGTCAGAGCCTCATTCTGTTGCCCAGGCTCGAGTGCAGTGGTGTGATCTCGGCTCACTGCAACCTCTGCCTCCCAGGTTCAAGCCATTCTCCTGCCTCAGCCTCCTGAGTAGCTGGGACTACAGGTGTGTGCCACCACGCCTGGCTAATTTTTTGTATTTTTTAGTAGAGATGGGGTTTCATCATGTTAGCTAGGATGGTCTCGATCTCCTGACCTTGTGATCTGCCTTCCTTGGCCTTCTAAAGTGCTGGGATTACAGGCATGAGCCACCGTGCCCAGCCACTGCTTAACAATTCTATGGTGAAAAAATAAAGAGGTCCTTAGATGTAGGAGAAAAAAACCAACTGTGAAGATTCACTACAATAGAAAAATGTCACAATTATCTGTCTCCATTCAGTAAAAGTTCTAAAATTATTGACTGGCTGCCAGAAGGGAGCAAGCAGGAAAACCAAAGGACTGGGAAGGTCAGTGAGGTATCAGTCCCTAAATTATTATTATTATTTTACATTATGCCCTAGAGCAGTAGATTTTCAGCTTTGACTACCCATTAAAATCACTTGGAGAGCATTAAAATCTTGTCCCTTGAATGCCATATGCCAGACCAATTAAATCAGAACCCTTGGGGGATGGGAAGGTGGGGAGAGTAGGACCCAGGTGGCAATTTTTAAGGCTTCCCAGGGGATTCCAGTCAGCATCTAAATTTGATCAAATCTCACTAATCAGAAGTATCTGGGGTAGCCCAACATTTTTTTCCTAAAGTTTCTAGTAAGTTTTGAGAACCTCAGAATAGTTTTTAAAATAGACATCAAATTAGATCTATAGAAAAAAATTCTTCTACAAAATACAGACAAGTAAACTAAATTGCTAGTTGATCTATTCTACATAAGCTAGGTAAAAAAAGTGTAGTTGAAGACCAGAGGGCTTATTCTAATCTTTTCTGATATGTACAGAGTAACTTTATCAGTTTGCTCAGAATGGTGATTAAGTGTTGTCTGCAGGAAGTTGACCAAACACCACATGTTCTCACTCATAAGTGGGTGTTGAACAATGAGTACACATGGACACAGGGAGGGTAACATCACACACTGGGGCCTGTCTGCGGGTCAAGGGTGGGGCTAAGGGAGGGAGATAGCAGGGGGTGGGTAGATTAGGGAGGTATAACATTAGGAGAAATACCTAATGTAGATGACAGGGGGAGGGATGCAGCAAACCACCAAGGCAAGTGTATCCTATGTAACCTGTACCTTCTGCACATGTACCCCAAAACTTAAAGTATAATAATAATAATAAAAGAAAATCAATGAAATGGTCAGAAGCTGTGGCTCTTGCCTGTGCCGGTAATCCCAGCACTTTGAGAGACAGCAGGATCCCCTGAGGCCAGGAGTTCAAGACCAACCTGGGCAAAATAGTGAGACTGCCCCCTAACTCAACAGAAAACTTAACAAAAAAATTAGCTAGGCTGCTGCTTGAGCCCAGAAGTTAAGGAGGCAGTGAACCACAATCACATTACTGTACTTTAGCCTGGACAACTGAACAAGACCCTGTCTCTTAAAAAAAAAAAAAAAAAAAAAGATCAGTCTCTGCCTGATCCGACCTTCATCTTCCCTCACTCAACTTTATGTTAGTATGATGATATTTACTCCCTGATAAATCCTGAACAAATCCTAAACTTCAGTGTTTCCATATCGTGTGTATCTATTTAAACTTTATCATCAGTGTAGACAGTTGTTAAACACTTTTTAACTCTTTCTGGATGCATGATTCTGTGATAGGTATAGAATAGGGTACCTAAAAAATGTCTCTGGTCATTACTAACAGGGCACACTGCATACAGACAAGTTCAGCTTTGGATTTGTTATTTTGCTCAAACCCTCTTTTGACAAAGGCCAAGGCCAATCTGAGGATTGACATCCCTGAACTTGTGTGTGATCAATAATCTTCCAATTGCATAGTTTCCATGATACCTAATGGGAGTAAAAATCTTAGTAATTACAACCATCATGCCATTCAGTTTATCATTACCTAAACATTCACTTTCAAATATAAACATCCTAGATAAAATGAAGTGAAAAGGTCTGTATGTGTTTGTTTTATCAGCCAACTAAAGAATAAAATACCACAATAATTAATGATGCTTGTGAAAGCCTAATTTTAAGTGTAAAACAATCAGTAATAACTTTCAATTATTTAGGAAAATAGATTGATAGTACAAATATTGAATACTAAATAGACTACTTTCTCAAGAACATGTCTTGGGAATAGGTTAAAAAAATTTTAAATAATCTAAAACAGAAAAATAGACATTAGATTTTATTATAACTCAAACTTCGTGAAACATATTACCTACTAGTAGTCACAACATTAAAGAAAATAACCTTAAAGACCTATATGTAAATTTCTGTTGGGGAATTCTTCACATCTGTGATGATGAATGAAAATCAATGTCCCCTCAAACTATCATGAGTTGGAAAAATTACTAAATTTTATAAACAACAGATATGTAATAATCCAAATATAATATCTAATCAAGATATTAAAAAGTGTTAAAACTTAGAAAAAACTGAACTAGTATCCCAAGTACATTTTGTTTAGTCAAAGTTCACTATAGAAGTCTCTAAAAGAATGTTTTACAACATCTATAGTTTTGATTCTATGAAGATTTGATAGTTTAATGTAAATTATTACAAATTATCCTTTTTAGCAAATAAAGACAGTTCTTTGAAGACAGAATTTTTGAGGTTTGCCTTAAACTATGAATTCTGTGTACAAAGCTCTTTCTAGTAAAAATCTTATTGAAAACCTTTTTCCTGAATTACTTTTGGTGTACAGAAAGGTTAGTAGTGTTTTTAAATGTGCCAGTTTAAAATGATTGTCTATTAGGTGTTACCAATGTAGAGTATGTGACTGCAAGAGAAATCTCACAGCTGACAGTGTCAAGAAACTGTTCCGGTACTGTAATTTTACACTTTTAAAATCTGACTGCTACTGTTGACAGCAATAAACTATAATAATAAATATATATGATAAATTTATTAGATGAAATAGTTCATCTACCCTATAAGTTTATTCTGCGTCAGTGCAACATTAGCCACAGGCAAATGTTGATTTTAATATCTGGTCACTGGCATTTGGCCAAAATGTATATTTGGTACACTTCTACTAATAAGGCATTTAAAGGCTTATTGCTATACTTCTTGGTAGAGAGAACCTAGTCTTAGCCTGATTCAGTATTTTTATCTTGATAGTTTTAGGAAAAATCATAACAGTTTCACTCACAATTGATATCAATTCTCTGTTCTCCCTTCCTTTACAGTTCTTAGCACTTTAAGTCTGTTCTGTGTTATTCAATATTAAATTATCCACTGTCTTGTACTGTTCACTGTACTCATGTGATCTTCACACAGGAGAGTTCTTCCTTAGGGTGGCATTATGCTTCTTTTACATTGCCCATAGTGCCTAGCACAGTGTGGGTCATCCAATATATATTTACTATTTCACTTAAACCCCATGGCTTTGTGTCAAAGATGGAAGTTTCCTTCTCAATTTAGGCTTTTTCATAAATAAACTATCCAAAGTGAAATATATAATGGGTTGAGCAAGTAAAGGCTGTATTCAATAGAAGAGAGAAATAATGTTGTTTAGTGGAGGAGAAAATAGAATACTGTATTTAGATCTGTGACACTGAAAGTAGGTCACTTATGTTCTTTGTGTCTTAGTCTACCTATGGATTCTGCAAGGCAATAAATAAAGTCAAAATAATTAAGAAGGAAAACTGTAATATTAACACTAACCTGAAAGTTCGAACAAGATTTTTAAGTTGTGTGTAAATATCTCCCAACGTAATCTCAAGAGGACCCAGAAGTCCAGGCAATCTGAAAATAAAAATATTACGTTTATTTTTAAACAAACTTAATTATATGGAAACACTTTTTGGGTTATGCCTAGATCTGGATTTTCCATAGGTAATAATGGCACTTATGTGGAAGCAGTCATATTTAAAAGTTAACCTAGGTCATGACTGGTGAGAACTCATAAGGAAACATTCATAGTAACCCCACATTCCACTTTGTAGTCTGTTACTGAGTGTGAAGCACTGAAATACAAAATCATTTTGGCAGCTATTTAAATTCCTGTCCCTAGTTTTACTTACCTGTTTATTTTCAAATATTAGACCAAGATGGAAAAAACACAACTCTCCCTAAAATGGTCTAATCTGAGAGTTTATTTTTCCTTACTAAATCCTCATGGTGGGAGTGAAAATTAGTACCTTTTTAGGGAGCAATTTGACAGTATATATTAACAGTTTAACTGTGTTTGACTCAATAGTTTTACTATAAAAAAATTTAATCTAAGGAAATAATCAGATAAACATAAAAAATATGCTTGGTGCAGAAAGTTTTAGAGTGAAAAATTGGAAACAAATATTTATCAATAGGTGATTGGTTAGATAAATTATGATATACTCACTTAATATAATAAGACATTTAAAATAATGTGAATCTATATATTTTTTTGAGACAGAATTTTGCTCTTGTTACCCAGGCTGGAGTGCAATGGCGCAATCTTGGCTCACCGCAACCTCCACCTCCTGGGTTCAAGCAATTCTCCTGCCTCAGCCTCCCAAGTAGCTGGGACTACAGGTGTGCGCCACCATGCCCAGCTAATTTTTGTATTTTTAGTAGAGATGGGGTTTCACCATGTTGACCAGGATGGTCTCGATCTCTTGACCTTGTGATCTACCCGCCTCGGCCTCCCAAAGTGCTGGGATTATAGGCGTGAGCCACCGTGCCCGGCCTCTATGTTTTTTAATATAAAAAGATATTCATGATCGATGTGAAGTGAAAAATGTGTACATAATATTGTCCTATTTTTATAAAAACATATATTATATAATACTATTGTACTTCATATACATTACATATCAAACATATTTCATTCCTTCTAGGTGTATCCACAGAGAGAACCAAATAGAATGAATATACATATGCCATATATATGTCTGGGATATACATCAAAATATTAATAGTCATTGTTGAGTGGTGGGATTACAGGTAAATTTTACTTCCTTCTTTAAACCATTTTGTATTGCCTCATCTTCTAAAGTATGTGTTTTTTTTTAAACTTCTTTTTAAGATCAGTGTGACAGTATAAAAAGCTTCTTATTATGGAAGTTTCACACATGTTCCAAAATAGAAAGAATAGTAATTATCCCATATATATTTCTAGATTCAATTTATTAATTTTTGCTACATTTGCTTCATTTTTCATTCCCTCCAGCACCCAGGCTGGAGTGCAGTGGCATAATCCAAATGTCAGGCAATAACAAATGCTGGTGAGAAATGTGGAGAAAAGGGAGCCCTAATACAGTGTTGGTAGGAATATAAATTAGAAAAACCACTATGGAAAACAGTTTAATCATGAGCATAATCATAGCTTACTGCAGACTCAAACTCTTGGGCTCAAGCGATCCTCCATCTCAGCCTCCTGAGTAGTAGCCCCACAACACCTGATTAATTATAATTATTTTTTTTAGAGATGGGGTCATACCATGTTTCCTAGGCTGGTCTTGAACTTCTGGCTTCAAGTGATCCCCCTGCCTCAGCCTCCCAAAGTTCTTGGATAGCAGGTATGAGCCACCACATCTGGCCATTTTTTTTTTTAATTTTGTAGTAATATTTTAAAGTAAATCTCTGTCATCATGTCATTTGACCACTAACCATTTCCATTTTTATCTCTAAATACAAAGGTACTTTCTTATATAATCACAATAAAATCATCATACCCAACCAAATTAACAATTCCTTAATGTCATCTAATATCCAGTACAGATATAATTTCCTCTGATATTCTAAAATAAAGACTTTTTACAACTGGTTGGTTCAAATATAAAATCCAAAAAGGTCTAACTTTGATAATGAGAAAAAAACCCAACACCTTTCATAAACAACAAAAAACTCCTATACCATAATTGGTTTTGTCTTCACTCTTCTTTGTGCCTTGGTTAATGTGAAATGTTTTCCTTATTTTCAAACTGCTACAAAATAAAACTTCATATTCACAACCCTTAAACAACAACTGATACACTTTTCCATGTTTTCTGCTAAAATAAGAAAATGCAGATTGAAAAATTCAATACAGCCCTTATACCTCTGGAAAAAAAATCTTCAATTTCCTTTAGAAAGAAAAACCAAGATAGCAATTTTTAAATGTCATTTAGGACTGGGCTAATTACAAGAACAATAATTTCCACCATGTGAAGTTCAAAGCTAAAGTGCAACATTGAGTTGAACAAAAACTCAAGTTGCTGAGTGTGAAATTGTTCCAAGAATATACATGCAGAGTGAGTTAACATACCCTTAAAACTTTGTAATAACATTCATATGTGAAACTGCTGTGACACATTTACTGCAAATCAGTATTTAAATGGGTCTAGCTTTGATATTTTTCCCCTGACTTCACTGATTAAGCGGGAGTAAGGTAGTTTGGTCTTCTATACCCACAATCTCAACCTTCCTCTTTATGATGTGCCTGTCTTCTACACAAAAATTTCTATTTCTTGGATAGGATATCTTAAAAATTCAAATTTCTCAAGTGAAGAAATCCACGTAAAATTTTCACATTATTTTTCAAAATGTTTGAAATTTGAGGATAATACTTATACATTATGAGCTCATAAATGTTAAGTTAATTTAAAAATACTACAAAGCTGGAATGGCAATTACATACTTACACTTTACTCAGCTTTTCAAGTACGATGCGTTTTCTAATCTGGTTCTGGGAACTTGAGTCTATCAGTGGAAAGGTGGAATGATGCTGAATAATATTTTTAAACAAAGCAAAACAATCGTAAGTTTACATTCTTTTTTTGATAAGTAGAACAATAAATGTTAAAACACAAAAGTTTTTATCTGTGGCACAGTAGTCAAATAACTAGACTTGAGAATTAGATTTAAATTTGAGTATCATCTCAGTCTTTAGGCTGCTGTAAACTTGCTTGAGTCATTTGCCCTCTTTGGAGAGTTAGTTTTCTCATCTGTATAACTGGGATATTAATACCTCCTTTATTAAATGATAAAATGTATAAAAAAAGATTTTGTAAACTGCTAAATGCTGTACAAATGTAGGGGATTAAAATATTAAAATTAGCAAATGCTATAAATATGAGGGTTCTGTCATCATGTCATTTGACCTCTAACCATTCTAGAAATGGCAGACAAGGTAATTCAAACCAACTCTCTCTCTGAGAACTGAAAAAAGTTGGGGGGAAAAACCCACATTTGTTTGAAACACATTTGTTAGCATCCGAGAGCTAATGAGGCTGTAAAGAAGTACAGGCTGAGATCCTGGAGAAGGCAATTCCAGATAGGGTATTAATTTTCAATTTAGATACTGAGAAACTGAGCAGTTCTTCTAATAAAAAGGGTTCAGGGTATCCTTCAAGAAGGGAGGGGTAGTGGCAACCCTCCCCAAATATGAGACCAGGACTTTGAAAGACTCTCCCCAAATATGAGACCAGGACTTGGAAAGACTTCACTTTCAGGAAGTGAATCCCACCTTGAAATCATCTTAATTTCCAATTAGATTACAGTGATATGGAACTGCTACAAATCATTTATATTTGCTTATAGAATAAATCTTATTCTAGAGGAAGATAACATCATCCTGATTTTACAGTTGTCTCTGTAATTTTTAATATACAATGTTTGGCATGTAATAAGACAATATGATCAAAATCTAAAACAGCCTACAGCGATCAATCTTCAGGGAATCTAGATAATGAAGTTATCAGCATTATTTAAAATGTTTAATATATTTGAAGAAAAATGACAAGGTTGAAAATTTTTGATAGAGACTGGAAACTATATAAAATAACAAAATGAAAATCCTAGAACAGAAAAATACAGTATTTAAAAGAAAGAACTAATGGGTAGACTTTAGAGCACAGTAGAAGTGACTGAAGAGAGAATGCTGAATAGGAAAATATCCAGAATGAAGCAGTCACCACTCCTCAAACACATAAAGCACAAAAGGAGATTAAGAGACCTACAAGATACAGTAAAAAAGACTAAAGAGAAGAGGGAGAATGGAATAGAAGCAATATCTAAGAGATAACTAAGAACATTCCAAAACTTACTTAAAAATCTTAAATGAAGCTAGAGGAAGAAAACAATACTTTCAAAAGAGTAGCAATAAGAGATACAAATGGAATGACAAGGGAATGATATTTTCAGTGGGCTGAAAGACAATAACTGCTAATCTAAAATTAGCAGTTATTAGGGACAGCGAGGGGTGGGGAGTTGGGGAGAGATAGCATGGGGATATATGCCCGATATTGGTAAAGGGGAGGAAGGCAGTAAATCACACTGCCATGTGTGTACCTATGCAACAATCTTGCATGTTCTTCACCTGTACCCTAAAACCTAAAATGCAATTAAAAAAAAAAAAAAAAGAGGCCAGGCACAGTGGCTCAAGCCTGTAATCCCAGCACTTTGGGAGGCCAAGGTAGGTGGATCACGAGGTCAAGAGATCGAGATGACCATCCTGGTCAACATGTTGAAACCCCGTCTCTACTAAATACAAAAAATTAGCTGGGCATGGTGGCATGTGCCTGTAAACCTGGCTACTCAGGAGGCTGAGGCAGGAGAATTACCTGAATCCAGGAGGCGGAAGTTGCGGTGAGCCGAGATTGCGCCATTGCATTCCAGCCTGGGTAACAACAGCGAAACTCTGTCTCAAAAAAAAAAAAAAAGAAAAAGAAAATAACTGCTAATCTAAAATTCAATATAGAAAAATATCTTTCAAAACTGAAAGTAAAATAATGAATTTGCTGACAAAGAAAAACTGAGAAAATTCATTATCAACTGGCACTAAGAGAAGTAAAGGATATTCTTCAGGCACAAGGCAAATGATCCCAGATGGAAGAATGGGGATAGAAGAAGGAATGAGAAACAGTGAAATAGTAATTAATTTGATAATCTAGCTGAGTATTGGCTATAAATAATCTTGTAGTATTTGAAATATAGAGACAATAAAAGTATCAAATAATAGAAATCAAGAGGGGATAGACAGAGTTAAATCATTCTAAGGTACTAATTGTCCAGGAAGCAATAAAAGTATTAACTTATATTAGACTTTAATAAGACACAGATTCAGGTTTTAACCTTTAGGTTAACCATTTAATGATCAGGAAAAGAGTATATAAAAACAAGTTAACAGAGGCTAAAAAATGGAATAATGATCCAATACAAAAAAAAGCAAGACAGAAAAAGGAAGACATAATCAGTGGGACACATAGAAAGAGGAGTGAGATGGTAGATTTAATCCCAAATACTGTATACCAATTATGATATGAAATGCAAATGGATTAAATTCTCCACATAAAGAACAAAGGTTACCTATCTAGACAGATTGTTCTTGACAACATTAATACAAGAATGTTGTCAGCAAAGTAGAATGTAAAGAAAGAAAACGAATAGAAAGGCTACTCCATAGTGATATGGGTTTCAATTTACCAAGAAGACATAACAATTTTACATTTCTATCCAATAACATGGTGTCAAAAAGTAAAATTTGCAGAACTAAAAGGAGGAAAAATCAATCCACAATTAAGGTGAGAGATTTTAACTCATCTTTCTCAATGACTGATGGAATGAGCAGACCAAAACCAAAACCCAAACTACACCCCGCAACAGTGTTTCTCAAACGTTAATGTGCATGCACATTTTCTGGGGATCTTGTTAAAAAGTAATTCTCATTCAGTAGATCTGGGGTGGGGATGAGAGTCTGCATTTCTAACAAGTTTCTAGGTGATGCTAATGCTGGTGGTTCCATGGACCACACATTGTATAGTAAGGCGCTGTATTAGTCTATCTTTGTGTGTTTCTGAAAATTTCCATAACAAAAAGTTTTAAAAATTGACTACCCACCGGTCAGGCGTGGTGGCTAACACCTATAAACCCAGCACTTTGGGAGGCTGAGGTGGGCGGATCACTTGAGGTCAAGAGTTCAAGACCAACCTGGCCTGGCCAACATGGTGCAACCCTGTTTCTACTCAAAATACAAAAATTAGCCAGGCATGGCAGTGGGCACCTGTAATCCCAGCTACTTGGGAGACTGAGGCAGGAGAATCACTTGAACCTAGGAGGTGAAGATTGCAGTGAGCCAAGATGGTGCCATTGCACTCCAAACAGGGTGAAAGAGTGAGACTCCATATCAAAAAAATAAAAATAAAAAAATTGAAAACCTACAAAGAAAATCAGAGGAAAATATAGTTCAAATAAATGTTTAGAATATCACCCATTCTAAATTAGAAACAACATTAATTTTAGACACATTTTTCCAGAAAAGGAGAGAACATTTCCCAGCTTGTTTTACCAAACGATTACAACCAAAACCTAATAAAGAAATTATAAGAAAGGAAAATTATAGGCAGTGCCAGGTATCTTCATTCTGAAAAATTTTCACCCTTTTCCACCTGTCGTACTTCAGAAGGCTGATCTGCATGGGCTGCATCAGTGGGCTTCTTTGCTCTCTGGATTTTATCTGAGTTTTGCCAATGAAGAATAACAAACTGGATGGTGCAGAGGAGTCAATTCCTGCTTGGTCTACTACCTGCAGCACTTCCTTGGTACAAAACCCCATAGTCCACTCCTCTCTTTTTCCTTGAGGTCTAGGGGTGGTGAGGGCTGTCAAACTATGATTAGTATATTATTCCTTTGGTTTCTTTCACTCTGACCACATTTTCACACTTTGGAAAACAGTCTCATAATTAAACTTTCCTCAAATTACTTAATTTGCATCATATGATTTATGATGAGACCATGGCCAATTCATATGCTAATCTCACTCATTCTGAAAATATGTGCAAAAATTCTAAGGCAAATATTAGGAGACCAAATCCAGTATTATATTAAAAGGCTATTATAGCTCAATCAAATTTAGTTTATTACAAGAATGCAAAGCTGGTTTAGTATTAAAAATAAATGTTTGGTCTGGGGAAAAATGGCAGATAGGAGGCAGGACTAACTTGCAACTCCTACTTGGTGTGGCGTATGTGGAGACTCACATGATGAATTTTTGCTCCAAGAACTTACTACTGCAAAAACGTTAAAAAGCCGAGGAAATGTGAGTCAGCTTGCTTTCTCAGCTACGAGGACTGTAGCCTGGGACAAGTTCTTAGCCCTGCTCATCAGCTGCCTGGAAATAAACTTGGTGCTGTTGTGGGGGCACAGAGGGAATGAGATTGGTCCTTTGGGCTGCAGGCTGTGTGGGAGCTGGGTGAGGCCTGTGGCTACAGGCTTTCCCCCACTTCGTAGTGACCTGTTTGACACAGCAGAGTCAGCCATAATCCCCCTGGGAACATAACTACATCCCTCACAGCAGCTGCAGCAAGCCCTGCCCAAGGAGAGTCTGAGCTCAGACTCACCAAATGATGCCCCCACCTGATGGTCTTTCTTTACTGGCCCTGGCAGCTGAAGACAAAGGACTTAATCTCCTGGGAGCTTTATGGCCCCGCCCACTGCCTGACCCAAGGGCAAGCTTGTATCCTCCCTATACTACTGCAGCTGAGGCACTCTTCAAAGCACCACCTCCTGGCTGGAGACCAACCAACACAAAATCAGTGCACTTAAAAAATATATAACCAAGGACCCTCACAGAGTCCACTTCACTCCCCTGCTAAGTATAAGTTCTTTAGTGGTGATTTTTGAGATTCTGGTGCCACCCATCTCCCAAGCACTGTACACTGTACCCAGTGTGTAATCTCTTTTTTTCTTTTGTTTTTTTTTTGAGATGGAATCTTGCTCTGTTGCCCATGCTGGAATGCAGTGGTGTGATCTCAGCCCACTGCAACCTCTATTTCCCAGGTCCAAACAATTCCTGTGCATGGACTTTGGGGACAAGTGGGGAACGGGGGGTGGTGAGGGATAAAACACTACACATTGGGGTCGGGTGTTGTGGCTCATGCCTGTAATCCCAGCACTTTGGGAGGCCAAGGTAGGTGAATCACTTGAGGCTAGTAGTTTGAAACCAGTCTGGCCAACATGTTGAAACCCCATATCTACTAAAAATTACAAAAAAATTAGCGAGGCATGTTGGTGCACACTGTAATCCCAGATGGTCAGGAGGCTAAGGCATGAATTTATTTGTGTATAAAATAAATAAACTATTAAAAAATAAATGTTAAAATAAAACATATATAATCATCTTTATACCCATGAAAAATTTTAAAATTCAATATGCACTTATGATAATGACTATTAGTCAATTAGAAATAAAAAAAAACTTTTATAATCAGATAAAGGGGCTATACAAAAAACCTCCACAACAAACATCATACTTAGTGGGATTTAAAGCTTTTCTTCTCAGATAGGGAATGAGACAATGAAGCCCATTGTCCTGAAGGTCCAAAGCAGTGGAACAAGACAAGGAAAAGAAATAGTGGGAATAACAATTGGAATGTAAAAAACCAAAACTGTTATTCACATAAGACATGGCCACATATGTAAAATATCCAAATGAATCTATAAATTATTAGAATTGATAATTTAATTATTGTAAATTATTATAATTCATAATCTAGGTAAGTTTAGCAAGGTTACTGGCTACAAGGTTAATGCAGACAAAAATTAATTGATTTTCTACATAAATATCAGTTAGAAAAAAATTTTTTAAATGACATCACTTTCTAAAGCATATAAAAACCCAAATACCTAGGAATAAATGCAATGAAATATGTTTAAGACCTCTACACAGAGAACTATGAAATGTTATTGAGCAGACTTTAAACATAGCTATTCTACTAGATATTAAAATTTTATAGTCATGTGTCACTTAGCAACAAGGATGCATTCTAAGAAATGTGTTGTTAGGCGATTTTGTCATTGTGCAAATATAGAGTGTACTTACACAAACTGAGATGGTACTACACACCTAGGCTATATGGTATAGCCCATTGCTGTTAAGTACAAACTTGGGTGGTATGTTGCTGTATTGAATACTGTAGGCAACTGTAACACAATGGCAATTATTTGTATCTAAACACAGAAAAGGCAATAGTAAAAATGTATTATAACAGTCTTATGGGATCATCATTGTATATATGGACCATTGTTGACTGAAATGTTGTTATGCAGTATGTGACTATATATAGCTACTATAATTAGGCAGCATGGTATTAGCCCAGAGATAGATACATAGACAAATTAACCCACACATTTATAAAAATATGATTTATGACAAGGGCCACACTACAGAACAGGGATAAGAGAATCTTTTTAATACATGGTGCTGGGTAAATTGGATATCTATATGGGAAAACATGAAATCTGACCCATACTCCTTGCCATAATCAAAAATCAATCCCAGATGAGTTACAGATCTAAATGTGAAGGGAAAAACCACAAAGCTTTTAGAAGATAAAATAATCTGGACTAAGTAAAGATTTACTATAGAAGTACTGAAGGGAACAATTAATAAACTGGACTCAAGACACTATTAAAAAGATTGAAAGGTCAAGTCTTAGAGTAGAAGATAATATTTGCAACACATATAACTGAAAAAGGACTTTAATCCTGAATATATAAAGAAGCCCTACAAATCATTTTTTAAACCTCCCAGATATTCCAACAGATAAATAGAAAAAAGACTTGAATAGGTACTTCAAAAAAGAGACTATCCAAGTAGTCAATAAGCAAATAAAATAGTGCTGAATTCATTAGTCATCACAGAAATGTATTATAATCACAAAGCAATATTACTGGGATGGCTAAAACTAACAATATCAAGTACTAGGGAGGACGTGGAGTCAAGAAAACTCCCATATAGTAGTAGCAGAACTGTAAACTGGTACAACCACTTTGGAAAACTGTTTGGCATTATCTAGTATAGCTGCATACATGCAAATATAATAACCTACCATTCCCAGTCCTAGATACTTCAGAAATACATATGCATATTAGCAGAGATAAATACAAGAAAGTTCATAAGAATATTGTTCATAATAGCCCCAAATTCGAAATAGTCTAAATGTCCATTAGCATAAATAAATGGTGTATTTATATAATGGAATACTATGCAGCAATAAGAGAATGAACTACAGCTCTATGCAACAACACATATGACTTGAAGGTATAATATTGCATGAAATAAATTGGACGCCAAGAATATATACTGTCAAAAAAACTGACAGAACTAATCTGTGCTAATATAATATTAATTTTGAAAAGAGGTACTGATTAGGAGGGGATATATATGGGGATTCTAGTTTACTTGTAATGATCTATTTCTTGGCTTGGGTAGTGATTACATCAGTATATTCATATGTGAAAATTCAAGAAATCATATACTTACTATTTGTGTTATACCTCAGTGAAAATGTTTTAAAGTGTTACATAATATTTTTGGAAAATGTTATAAATTTACAAAAAAAATTTCAGGGATTATTTTTTCCCTTTTAAGGCTAAAATGCACAAAATGATAAAATAAGTGATATTCTATGGTGGGTTTATGCACCTCAGTGACAATGATCAATGCTTCTCCCAGCTTAATACAAGTTTCGGATGATGTCTAATAATATACTTGAAACGATTTGAAGTAAGGTGCTGGGCCAAGCAACACTCTATAGAAATACAAGACATTTTTAAATCTTTTGCTATATTTCTTCTTCTACCCTCTTTCCAAATCTCCAATGTGCGTTTAAATTGAGAGCCATAATTACTTAGCAATTTTTGAGAATAAAGTTTTGTGGTAAAAACAAGGTTACTGCCCATTTCACTTCATGTTAAATGACTTCATTTTCCAGGGAGTACACATCAGTCAAAAATGGGTAGTAGAAATACTAAATCTCTGTGGCACATTTTCAATCTCTACATATGGGTACTATTTATTGAGTGTCAGTTATATGTCATGTACTATGATAAACGCTTTACAAACATTATCTTTAAAATGAATAACAATTGAGCAAGAGAAGCTATTAATAGTCCCATTTACAGATGAGCAAACAAAGCAAGAAACTAATTTTTCAACAGCTAGTAAATGACAAAACAGATGTTCAAATCTAGGTCTATCTGAATGTGCTTTCCATTCTCTTTGTCCATTCTTTCCCAATAAGTCTCTTTTACAAATTATTTTCATCTATAATATTTTAAATGGGCATGCTTGCTAAATATTTTCCAATGTAACTAGCAAGTCTATTCCATAGCATATACTTCCATTAAACATACACACACACACCCATGTATAAATCTGAAAGAATACATACCGAAGAAGAAAAAACAAGCCTCTTCAGAGGCTTCATTTCTTATTTGTAGAATTAGGGAAAACTTTGTCCCACCATTTTAGGATATTTTTACATTAGAAAAAAATTGCACATTATCTATAAAATAGTAATGCCAACAATGGAGATGGCACTGTAAACCAAAAGGCAGAATGACTAAAGAAACTATTTGAAAATTTAACAATTATCTCTTCAATATCCCTCCTTATCCAGGATTTGCTGTGGTGAGTTTTCCAAATGTTAATGACCTGGAAAAACTCAATGCCTGTAAGACATACCTCTTCTGAGTCTTGTGATTTGGTGGTTTCTTCATCCAAAACATACCGTCCTCTATAAAACTCCCTGATCCTCAGATTTAACTTTTCAGTTTCTTTTTTCAAGTTCTCGTAACTTGGCAGTGGTTTAATGGCTGTATCTGAGCCCATAAAAGGTAAAGACTCATCCAAGCTGTTCTGAGATTCCCTCCAGGCAAGCGAATGACTATGTGGATCTGAGATTATGTCATCTTCATCAAGTTCTTCTTTAACCAGAGAGGCTTCGGGTTTCAGACACACAGAAGCATAATTCTGGCCATACAAAAACCTCAAAGTTTCTTCTGTCTTCCACTCAATCAAAGTCTCCTTCAAAATTTTAAGTAAGTTTCTCTTTCCAACTTCAGGACACACCTGCACTGAACCAGATACTGACCTAGACACTTGGTTTGATTTGGCAAATTTTCTCTTAAAATGCTCCACACTTTTCTTACTTATGCCTACTAGAGTTATTTCTGACCTACTGTATTTACTTTCAGAATTTTCTGAAGCTTTTAATCTTTCAGGCAAAGTACTATTTGGAGAATTCTCAGTATTTACTTTCTGTAAGGGAAGTTCACCTGTAGCAGCTTTCTCCTGACTATCTAATTTGCAATTGCCTAACTGCTCAGTGACATCTACTACTGTCTGTTCTTTGTGTATGGAGTTAGCTTTGTGACCAGCCTTCTTTTTCATTATGCTTTTCTGGTGCAGCTGTGGTCTAATACTTGTTGAATTTGGTCTGTTTCCTGGTAGAATGGAGGAAACAAAGTCTTGCTCATTATCACTGCTACTATCACTATGAGTGCTGGAAGAACTAGATTCATATTGCTTTTCAAAGTGGCTAGTATTGTCTATATCTGATGTTTTAATGGCTTTACTGCATAACTCTACTTCTACTCCAGAATGGCCACTGTAAAATGAAAGAGAAATAAAATAATTAAATAATAAATGGCAAATAAAAACCAAAACAATAGGAAAGTAAAGTACCCCATAGTATTTATACATTGTAACTTTCAAGGTAAAAATTTTAATTCCCTTGGTAAAACCTTGTTTATAAGCTTCTGATATACAAATTTCAGAAAAAGCCTATAATTTCACTATATCTATTAATAATATATTTTTTGATATAGTTCTTCTTCGTTCATCTTTTTCCCCCAATTATTTAAAAATTGTTACAAGAGTACAACAAAAATTTTTTTAAAAACTTGATAATGCTATCCTACTGCAGTAGTTGGATTTGCCTGTTGTTGCAAAAATATATATATCAATATATATGAAGTATATATATATATTTATGTTTATAATATATACATATATTTATATTTATATTCATATAAATATATAATAGAATATGTATATATAATATGTAAATTTATATCTAATATATGCTTATTTTATATAATATATGTATTTAAAATATATATATAATATAGTATGAAAAATAATATAAAAATATACATATTTTCGAGATAGAGTCTCAGTATGTTGTCCAGGCTGGATTGCGGTAGTGCAATCTCAGCTCACTGCAACCTCTGCCTCTTGGGTTCAAGCGATTCCCTCACCTCAGCCTCCCAAGTAGCTGGGATTACAGGTGGGTGACAACATGCCTGGCTAGTTTTTGTATTTTTTTTTTTAGCAGAGATGGGGTTTTGCCATGTTGGGCAGGCTGGTCTTGAACTCCTGACCTCAAGTGATCCATCCACCTTGGCCTCCCAAAAGTGCTGAGATTATAGGCATGAGCCACTGTGCTTGACTGACCTTTTTATTTTTTATTTTTGTATTTTACTTTTTAAAAATTTATTCGAGATGGAGTCTTGCTGTGTTGCCCAGGCTGGAGTGCAGTGGTGCCATCTTGGCTCACTGCAACCTCCACCTTCCAGGTTCAAGTGATTCTCCTGCCTCAGCCTTCCAGGTAGCTGGGATTACAGGCATGCACCACCATGCCCAGCTAGTTTTTGTATTTTAATAGAGATGGGATTTCACCATGTTGGCCAGGCTGGTCTTGAACTCCTGACCTCAAGTGACTCACTGTCTTGGCCTCCCAAAGTCCTGGGATTACCAGCTGACCTTTTTAAAAAAAGCTTTTCTTTTGAAAATTGTGGCTGGGTATAGTGACTCATGTATGCCTGTAGTCCCAGCTATTCGGGAGGCTGAGGTAGGAGAATCACTTGAACCCAGGAGGCGGAGGCTGCAGTGAGCCGAGATTGCACCACTGTATTCCAGCCTGGGTGATGCAGTGAGACTCCATCTCAAAAAAAGAAAAAAAAAAAAAAGAAAAGTTTATTACTGGTTTCTTAAATAAAAAAATTACAGGAATTGTGTTTAGGTTTGAAAAGATAAAGAGATAAAAATAAATGGGTAAATTCTCTAATTCTGGTTGTCATACAGAAAATTCTATAGAATGAAAATCACAGGAAACTGATAGCAGAAAAAGTTAGCAAATCAACAATTTTCAATAAAAGATATTTAAATTTGAAAATCCAGAATTACAACAGCATGCTAACAATAAAAAAACAAAAGTTGTCTCCGACTATGTTCTTCAATTTTCAGATTTAGTTTGAATAAGATGAAGAATTATGAAAGAATGAAGGCAAGAGTAGCTTCATCAATACAAACTTGAAACAAACAAGGATGTCCTCAAGCATAGACATATAGCAAAACTTTAAAAGATTGGGATGAAAAAGACTCTAGGTCAAGAAGTATGCTGTGGGGAAATGTAAAGGAAAAAAATATATTTAAAAAAAGGTGAAAGCAAGGTCATGGATGGGAATGAAGAAAAAAGATGAAAACTTAGTTCAGAATTAGATACCATCTTTTAGTCAGAATCTAGCCTATATAGCCATGGTGCTATCTCTTGCATCAGAAGAAAAGTAAAAACAGGTGTAACTTCAACAAAATTAGAACAATTTAACTTTCATGTATTTCATACTTCCTCTTGGAATAAGGCAATTATGTTTTTATACTAATCTGAAGGTATAAATTAAAGATATACATCAATAAATAGCAATCTCTTATTTGTGCCCAATGCCCTCTGACTAAGGTAGTGACTACTAACTAGGAACATTTATTCTGAGAGTTAAGGGATGTGTTTTGAGAGATGGCCATGGTCAGACAAACAATACCATGAGGAAAGTTAAGAAAAAAAATCACAACGTGGAATTTATATTAATGCTTTAGACACTCTTTAAATTATTAAGTAACTGATACATTACTGGTTTTGAAATCCTATATGACTATAAAAACCTTTCAACAAATGTAATAGGCACAATCTAGTTGACAAAGAAGCACAGTATCTGAGATGGAGGCTGTATTTGTGTCATATTTCAACAGGTTAAATTAGATTTCCTCGGTAGGAACAGCTGTACAATAAATCATACGGGTCAAACACATCATTTTACCATCACAAAAGAAAAAGCTGAACAGGTCAAATATTTCTTTCTGTGGGCTAGAATGGGACACTTACATAATGCATCAGCACAGGAAGTCCAAGAGCTCATACCACCTGGTTCACTCCTAATGTTTCTATTAACATAAATAAATAGATGGTAAATGATACTGATTCAACCATACCTTTGTCCTTCCTTTAGCAGTTGAAAATCGGGATGGCTGTAACAAGAATACAGAAATAGAAAACTGAAGGCAAGTGACATGTCAAATATTTTCAAGTTTTTATTAAACTTCAATATGTATAGTAGAAAATGTAATTAAAAGGAAGTAGTTCATTAAATTTTTTTTTTCTTTAAGAAAAAAGTTAAAGGATGACAAAGTACTGTGAAACTCATCAACAAGAAATCTGGATTAGTCTCACTCTTATTTGAACTTCACTCACTTTTCAGGGCTAAGTTCAAATTCCACCAGCCCTATAAAGGCTTCCTTGACTAATGTGGACTAAAGTAAATCCCTTCTCTAAGTTGTCTGAACAATGTAACATATTTAATCATGTACTCCTTTATGGCCTACTACTAGAACCATTAACTAAATGTTTAACTTTTCATGTTTTAGTCTGGTTCCTTAACTAGACTATAAGCTTCTTAAAGGCAGAGATTGTTTATAATTCTGTTGGATTTCCTTTATATGGTCATTAAGATTTTTTGCCTTAATTTCTGAGAAAGCAATTACATTGGAGTAGTAGCAACCCCCTGCTCCCCACTGCCTCCACCTCAGCCTCCTACAGTGCTGGGATTACCACCGTGCCAAGCCAACCCTTACAATTTAGTAGAAGAAAAATGTATGTTCTAAGAGCTTTACAGGTATTGATCTTCATAACAATGATGTAGTTACTAATATTATCCCTATGTTATAGATAAGGAAACTGAGTACAGAGAGAATAAGCAATTTGCCCAAAATCGCACAGCTGATAAGTGGTGGAGCCAGGAATCCCACCCAGACAGTAAAGCTCATAATAACTACACTGTCATTCAAGACAGTATGTGTTAAATGCCATGAGAGATGTATAAGCTGCTACAGAAAATCAGAGAAGAAAAACTTCCTCCTGAACCAATAAAAAAGAGTTGCAGAGGTGTCATTTCAGCTGGGCTTATAAAGATGGATATAGTCTGTATATAGCGGCATTTGAGGCTAATCCCATGAATCTCAGTCTGGGGTGTTACTCTACAAACCTCTCCCTTTTTTTTTCCTTTCTTTTTTTAAAGTATGTAATCATGTTTAAATCTACTCAATTTCTTAGGAAAAAAAAACCGAAACAGTCCTTTGATCATACAGCCCCTCCTCATTTCATCATAAGCCTTCATTAAAGAAGTCTGCCCTCATCATTTTCAACTTCCCTATCTCCTATTCATTTATCAACTCTCTGTCTTCTGGAATCTGTACTCATTACTCCTCTGAAATGGCTCTCACTGAGATCACCAATTATTATAAGACTGTTAATAGATATTTTTCAGTTCTTTTTTAAGGTAGAGGGAAAATAATCAACACGAAAGGATATCTCAAAGGAGGCAGAATACAAATAAATCATAAAGCAAGGTCCAGGAGAGAAAGTGGAATCAGTAAGACAAAGGAAGATACTTGATCAGCAATGAGGCAGAGAAATGAGAGCCCATATGAAGAAAATAATGTTGAAGGAGATTTTGCTGGATGCCCTCAATTGTTTCAGTAAAGTGGGTTAAGCTATCTACTATGATTGGTGGTTGGTTTAAAGTCTGAGAGTAGAAAAGGTCTATCCTATAGTTACTAAAAAAAAAAAAAAAGGTGGGAAAAACATAGTAGAGAATGGGGCCAAAAGAATACAAAGAATGTAGACTTGGATATCAGACAGACCTGGGTTCAAATCCAAAACTATATATAAAACTAAGTGTCCATGGGTGAGTCACTATACCACTCCGAGCCTCAGTTCCATCATCCATAAAGTGAGTAACATAGTATTTCCCCAGAGATGCTATGAGGACAGAATTAAATGAGATAGCTTATCTAAAGTGCTAATGGTCTTATTTGAGAACTTTCTCCAAAACGTTCAGCAAGCTAAACACAGGAAAAAAGTATGACTGGAGCTTGGGAAGGTGAACATGGCAGAAGGTTAAAGGAGAAAGAATCTACAATGGTTTAATACGACACTGTAATCGCTGACTGTAGAGCTCAAGAAAGCAAATGTAACAGGGTTTGCCAACTCAGAAGAATAAAGCTAGGCTAGAGATAGGAGGTCAAAATGAGGTCACAAAGCAGATTCAGGAGTGACAGCTGCAGACTGAGATAGAGGTTGTGGTCAGAGACGGGAAGCTCTTACTTCAAGATCTTGGAGGCAGAATAGTTCCAAACAAGAATGAGGTCCAAGTGTGGCTGAATCAAATAGTAATCAAAATATATAAACATTACTGTGAACTATGAATGCAATTTAAAACAGCTTTATGAAACTTCTCCTGCTATGCAACTTATTTTTTGAGAATTAAAAGAAAAATCTATCTTTCAAAAAAGCAAGGGAAAAATCAGCATTAACTACCATATGCTAGGTGGATTGTTAAAATTGTGGTAAAATATACACCACATAAAATTTACCATTTAATACATTTTTAGGTATGTAGTTCGGTAGCATGAAGTACATTTACACTGTTGTGCAACTATCACCACCATGCATCTCCAGCACTTTTTCATCTTCCCAAGCTGTCTGCTAGGTGGTTTTGGTTCTACACTTTTTTTCATTTAATCCTCATACAATTTACAACTCTATTTTTACAGATGAGGAAACCGAAGTTTTGAGAGGTTAAATGACTTCCTAAAATCACATAGTTAACAAGTAGTAAATCTAGGATTCAAATTAGGCCAAGCTGTTTCCATATCCTGTTGCCTCTAATTAGTGTTAGAAAAAGACCCAAAAATGTTGTAAGGACACCACCTTTGCTTAATCCTTTTCACAGGAACTCAATTACTTTACAAACAATTTTCCTCTCCTTGGTGTAATTTTTCTGAGAACTAGACTCAACATTGTTTCTAGATGTTAACTATCTGTTTTTTTTGAGATGGAGTCTTGCTGTGTCACCCAGGCTGGAATGCAGTGATACGATCCTGGCTCACTACAACCTGAGACTCCCAGGTTCAAGCAATTCCCCTGCCTCAGCCTCCCGAGTAGCTGGGATTTTAGGCATGCACCACCACGCCCAGATAATTTTTGTAATTTTAATAAAGATGGGGTTTCACCATGTTAGTCAGGCTGGTCTTGAATTCCTGACCTCCTGATCCACCCACCTTCCCAATGTTAACTATTTTAAAGAAACATTAAATACCTTCCCTGATCCCCAATATATAAAGAACAGCACATGACACTGAAATAAACTAGTCTGGAGTTTACTGAGGCACTAGATGAAAAATTCAATATGAAATTCCAGTTTGTTTTTGCTTTGTGCTGTTTTAGAAAGCATGAAGCACCAAGTTACATTGTTCTTTCTTTTCTATCCTTTCTTAGATGAAATTCGAATTCTTTTTGTTTGAAAAGTGCCATTTCTCTTCCAGCTAAGTATTTTCTATTCTCTTCCCACAATTTTTGTTGTCCTAGAGATAGTTCTGAAAGCTCAATTAAAAAACAAAGATATGTAACCATCCTAGTTAAAGAATGCTTTTAAGCTGTTTCTTCATAAATATTTTATTTTCACTAAGGTATAAATTAGATGGCTGGTTTTCATTTTAGCAAAATAAATCTAAAACTAGAAATAACTTATGCCAAAGAACTTAGTGGATATGTGTACATATTTATATATATGTGCATATATATCACTTGGAATATATATGTTATATATAAACCAACTGAAGCAGCAGGCTACAATTCCCCTATGGCGAGAAATTTTCAAATATAATTTGAGACATGTTAAACCCTATTTCAAAAAGCTTTTATTCTGTATACCAAGCAACAGAGGTGGCTGTTCAGGAAGAGGTTATAGTTGTTCTGCAGAGGTTTTTGGCTTCCGCACATCTGAGATTCTACTGTTTACTGCCAAGAAGCAATGTGTGAAATCCCCTACTCTGGACCAGATGATGGCGCTTTTAGCTCTGTCAGCATTAACCATTCACCCCAATTTTATTTTTAAAATAATAATTTGATTATCAACATTTGTCCCTCTTTCTTAAAGATTTTAGGTTACAATTCATGAGACTTCCCACCTTCAAAGATTTGTCAGAGCCTACATTTAGCCAAACAGGATTTATAACTGCAACTATACAATTACCTATATGGCCACACTGTCTCAGAGCATCAAAACTCTATGTGGTCTGTTTCTGGCCACGAAGTGGGTGAAAAATTTAAACTCACAAGATGAGAAGCATCATAGTGCATCATGACCCAGACCATTCTAGGTCAATGTTTTGTCTCAAACAAGGTGTCAGGAGACATTTCGTGAGAACGACTGTTACCCTCCATGACATTACAGATATACTCCAGATGTTTTTTCATACCTTAAACATCAGGAGGTAGAAAACCTCCAAGGCCCTTTCTGACTCCAAAACCTTGATAAAAGTATGGAGGTGGAATTTATGAATTTTTCTAAATCTTAAATTTATTGAAACATCTGTACCAATGAGGTAGTGAGCTTACTGTGATAAAGATATTACTCTTATAAATTTTAAGGGTACTACTAGGTTTTGGTATTATAAAATCTGGTAAATAAATTTATATAAGCATACCTTCTTTAACTGTGCTTTCCTGTATTGTGCTTTGCAGATATTACATTTTTTTTACAAACTGAATGTTTGTAGTAACTGTGTCTGCCAGTCTGTCAGCATGATTTTTCCAACAAAATGTGTTCTCTGTGTCACAGTTTGGTAATTCTTATATTTCAAATTTCTTCATTATCTGTTATAGTAGTATGTGGTAATTTTTGATGTTACTGGTGTAATTGTTTTGGGATATCATTAACCAAGCCCACATAAGATGTAAAACTTAATTGATAAATGTGTGTGTTCTGACTGATACACCAACCAGCTGTTCACCCACCTCTCTCCCTCTTCTAGGACTCCCTATTCCTCAAGGCACAACACTATTGAAATTAGGCCAATTAGTAACTTTACAATGGAAGACTCACTGACATTGAATAGTGCTTTTCCTTTAAGATTATTATTTTTTTTTGAGAGTGCAACATGACAAGACCTCTATCTTTCTGAAAAGC